CAGAGTATATGTTGCTCACTGGTAGCGTATAGTACATATGCTCGTTACTCTTTTCATATTGTATTAGACTCCTGAATGGTGTCTCACTGTCTAGTTGTCTATGTTGTAAAGACCCTACTGATTTTTTTATTGGACAACACAGCTAACATAGTGTATTGCACAGAGTGTTGACCTAGATAATTCTAAATGGCTTCATAGACACTAGCACATGCATTATACAGACCACCTTCTGAAAATGCTTTCTTCCTTGCATCTGTGATGCTACTTGCTCTGATTTTCTACCTACCTCTGGCTGCTTTTGCTTAGTCTTCTCCCTCCCATTCTTTCTGCATTAGTGTTTCTCGGCGCTCTACTTTATGCCATCTGTCTCCTCTTTTAGTAAATATTCTTTGGATGTTCTCATTCATGCCCATGTTTTCAACTACATTTTGCTTGTTAATAATTCCTGATTTTTTTTTTCCTAATTCTTCACTCACTGCTGAGCTTCTTGCCCCTGTTTTTAGGTATTGACTAGACATATTTACTTGGATGTCTTCAAGATACATTAATATATCCAAAGCCAAACCCATCATTTGTTTGTCCTACATACTATTCCTCCTTGTGTCATTTCCTGTCTTGATGTCTGGTGCCAGCGTCTGTCCAGTTACTCAAGCCTTATTCCTGGGAATCACCTTTCACCTCTTTGTCTCATTCACCTCACACACATGCTTACTCAGTGCCATCTATTCTGGTTCCTAGACCGCTCTTGAATATCTCCATCCTCTCTACTCCCCCTGTCTGAACAATCTCAAGACTTCTCATCATCTGTTCCCTGGATTTCTCTTGATGCTCCTTGACAGGCGTCCCTGCCTCTAGTCTTGCCTTTGTACAGGCAATCCTCTGCACTGTAATAGTGTAGAGGAAGTGATGTGTCGAAGACATCTATTGAATATTATAATCAGCATCTCAACCTTAAGTGGTGCAAAACCAAATCTCCTCCCGTAGTCTTCTCCATTTTAATAAGAAGCAATTTTGTACTTTTCATTGCCAAGGCCAAAAATCCTTGGTGTCCTCCTTGCCTGCTCTCTCTCATACCACACATCCAATCCATTACCAAGTCCAGCTGGCTCAACCTTCAGAATGTAATCAGAACTCCACCATTTCTCACCACCTCCACTGCTGTTACCCTAGCCCAAACTACTATCATTCCCCCCCCCCCCGTGGATTATTGCAATCACTAGACACTAGTGTCCCTGTCAAGTCTTCATCTCCTAAAGCTTCGCTGTCTAGTACAGTAGCCACTAGCCTTCTGTGGCTGTTAAGCACTAGAAATGGCTGATCTGAATTGAGACTTGCTCTAAGAAGACACAGTGTATATTGAAGAATAAGTATGCAAAGAAAACCCACAGTATCTCATTAAGAATATATTGAATACATGATAAAATAACATTTTAGACAGGTTGGGTTAAATAAAATATATTATTAGAATTAATTTAATTAATTTTCCCCATTGTGATTACTCGAAAAAATAAAATCACACACGTGGCTCACATTTGCATTGCTGTTGGACAGCACTGCTCTAATTTTTTTTTTTTTTTTTTTTTTTTTTTTTTTTTAAATACAGCAGTCAGCTATGCTTTAGAAATGTCAGATCTCATTCCTCAGGCCAGAATCCTCAAGGGAAAAGCCAGTCTGTACAGTAGGCTGTGAGGCCCATCAGATCCTGTCCCGTCAGACCCTCTTTCTCCCACTCTGTGACTGCTTGCCAGCTCTTGGGGCCTTCTGGTAAGCCCCACCTGAAGCCCTTTCATTTACCCTCCCTCCGCTCTGCTTATTCTTTCCCAGATAGCGGTATGACTGTTTGTCACTTCTTTCAGGCATCTGCTCAAGTGTCCCCTGTTTGTAGTGATATTAGAGAAGTCCATCCTCACACCTGATCTAAAACAGCAGTCTGTGTACCCAAACATACTCAACACGAATCTTTTCATTATGTTTTGGCTTTACTTTGAACGACTCCTCATTGTCTATAGAATTAAATCCAAATTACTTGTATTTCTAGGTACACCACTGCTATTTAGCCACTTTCTAACTTCAGCACATTCCTTACTATTCCTCTAAGCAGCCCTCATATGTAGTCGGAATCACTTGCAAGAAACACAAAGTGAGAAAAAAAAAGTGACAAAGAATATAATAAAGGCTTAAAGGATTGTTATTAAATGTAATATGTTCTTGTACTGAATTACCATTCATCCAACTTCAAACATTGTTTGGTGGGCAAGTAGCAACATGTATTTAACCCTTTGAATTCCATTTGACATGCATCCCATAAAATGTGTATCAGTACAATCAATACCAAAGGCAAATGGTATACTCATCAAGAAAGAGTTTAAAGCTTTGTAAAAACAAACAAACAAAAACCTCTATGTGAATGTTTCCCATTACTAGTATTTATTTTCCTCTGAAATAATCATTTTCACCAGATTTTTTCTCCTCCCGATTAAAAAGGAAGTATAACTTACCAATAGTTTAGTAAGATGTTTCATTATAAGGGAGATGGTGCTTGGAATAAATTTTCTACAGTAATGAATTAGGAAAACAAGAATTTACAGCTCAGCAATAAATAAACCTTTGAGAAGTGTTTATTGTTCCAGTTCATTAACATGTTATATCTTTTGGACAGTATTTCTTAAAGGCCATAAAATTAATAGTGTATTTGAAAAGTTTTATTGGCGTGTATTTCCTAAGTCAAATGTAGCCTAGAGTTTAATTGTGCTGTTTCACACAGGCTAGGAATCTGACAGTTAATATTTTTTTTCTGTTTTAAAAGAAAAACATTTTCCTGCAGGGCTGGCTTCCATATTCATGAATGTGTTTATGCCACACTGGAGTTCTCATGTGCTGAAATTGTGAGAATCTGTCAGAGCTAATCTGGATCTGGGATTTTTTTGTGTCTTAAAATTATGCTGAAATTTCAATTAGCAAGTAATCATGCTCCTGGCCTGGCAGGATACACAAAACTAAAATTCTGTTTTTCAGCTACTAGAGTTAAGTTTTAAATCTCTCACTACACAAAGCAAGGGCAGCACAGTAACTTTTATTGAGTATCTGCAAGATGCTAAGCATTGTGTGGACTATAGGAGATCATAAGGCACCATGTCCCCAAATGTAGAATAATTCTAACCTTTCCTACTGTGCCTTCTATAAATGTACTCCATAGTAAACAAATTCCTCAACAGAGAACTTCCCTTCCACCAGCTAGTCCTAATTAAAGCCTATCTACGCAGTTAGAGTACCTCTTCCCTTTTAATCTTCCTAAGTGGAGTTGCTTTTCTCCCCAAGGCTCCTGAACCACAAGGACACATGTTCACAGTCAATACCCACAAGGTATTATTATTCAGACTTCTTAGGGGTATGTAATTCAGACGACTATCTTGTCTTCATCCTTATTGTCTTTTCTAGACAGAACCCCTCGATAACAGTCTGTGGAGACTTGTACTCAAGTTCAGCCATCACTTTTATCTACCCCATCTCCCACAATCATTCTGAGCAATATTAGTGTTTCCTGAAATATTCCCCCAATGCCTTTACCTCCTCTGTTCTGAAGATTTTCATCCAATCCTGAGTATCTCTCAGATTTGCCTTTTGTTTTTTAAATCATCCTGTACAGAAGTATTCCAATACCCTTCTGATGATGTGTCTGTATCTGCCTTTCCCTCCTGATTCCATCCTTTACACAGCTATTAAAGTCATCTTTTTAAACACAAATCTTTCTAGGCTTTTCCCGGGCTTCACCACTTTGCATAGTTTCTCATTGCCTAGAGCAGTGCTTTACAACTTTGCCTGGTCATGGCTAACATGAAGAAGGCAATGGATATGCAGGAGTAAGTGCAGGGGACTCAAGTTTACCCCTGGTACATTCACTGGGCCAGTCCCGGTCTCTCTTTTCTGGGATCCATTGGCCATTACCCAGTTTAAATAGTTAGTATAATGCTTGCTTTTAGATTCAGTATTGTCCTTTCCTCCTACACGATGGTTTAGCTGACACATTCATGAAGGTATTATTCGAATTAAATTCTTCAGTGGGTGAAGATGAAGTGTAGAGAAGGTCATAAACAGACAAAAACATGAAGAAATCTGGGTGTGTTTTCTGAGGTAATAGTAATTAGAACTTAGGATAACTCGTATATGAATTATGCAAATGGGAGTAAGAGGAAATTTTTGAAAATCTAGTTGGGTTACAGTTTGCTGGTCTTTGACTACAGGACTAAAGCATCCTCGTACTTTCACAAATCATCCAGTTACTGATTGTTTATGATCTACTGCCTCTGCAATAGAGCTCACACGCTCTGACAGTATACTGTATGCTCCGATTTCTAGCTCTTCTGTCCAAATCCTACTGTTTCGTGACCCTGCACCAGTCCCACTCTCATGCCTCAAGTTCTTCCTAACCACACATTTCCACCTAAGTATCTTCCCTGAACTTTCACTTTTTGCATGTCTTAATTCCCGCTCACTTAATGCTTGGCATTATTTAACTTTTTATGTGTTTTATCTTCCCTCCATAACTACATAAGAAGCCAATCAAGGACAACACTCTAATTCTTTCCGTCCCCTACATCAGTAAGCAGAATGCATGCAGTTTTTATCTTAGGAGATTCAGCTTTTGTTGGGTTTCTCTCTTCCCTTACTCCTGCCATGTACTTTCTTTCTCTCTCTCCTCTCTCCTTCACACACACACCCCAATGCCACTTAGTTTTCACTTCTTTCTGCCAATCAAGGACAACACTCTAATTCTTTCCGTCCCCTACATCAGTAAGCAGAATGCATGCAATTTTTATCTTAGGAGATTCAGCTTTTGTTGGGTTTCTCTCTTCCCTTACTGCTGCCATGTACTTTCTTTCTCTCTCTCCTCTCTCCTTCACACACACACCCCAATGCCACTTAGTTTTCACTTCTTTCCAGCATCCTTTTGCTTTGAATTATTCCTGATGGAGTCTTGTTTTTGTCGGCTTATTTCCTAGATGGGAAGTGATGGAATTTTACGCCTCAGTACTTCAGCTCTAAATAATGAATTCTTTGCATATGCAGCACAAGGGTGGAAACAGCGGCTGGCAGAAGGTAAATTTCTATTTTCTTTTATTATGTGTCATTGCAGTACGCATACTACACCGAGCTTTGCACCTAATTTTGATTTCCAAGTCTTGTTTTTTTCCCTGAAATATAATTTAGTAAAAATTTACATCCCATTTCAGTAGACTTCACTAATTCTTTTGTTATATATGGCATTTTTGATGTCCGATATTTTTGAAGAAAGCATGATTTTATCTGGGACATAATAAAAATTTTTGATATAGCAAGTTTTTATTTAGAATGGTAATTTTAATTTCATTGTTTGATCCATTACGTATTTTCTTGAATATCCTGGAACCTAAAGAAACTTCTTTTAAATACTTCCTTCCCCTGGAGCCACCACTTCATCTTATCTTTGCTTTAGTCACCAAGCTTCTTGAAAAACTAAAAACTACCCAGTGCTACCCCATTTTTGCTCCCTACTCATTCACACTGTTATGGTCAGGTGTGGACCCACTCTACACAACTGAAATGTCCCTCCTGGAGAATACTAATGACTTGCTAATGGCAAAGTCCAAGCCCAGTTTCCTCTTTTCAATCCTTACATTTCATATTCCTCCTCCAATTTCTCATTTCTTTTTTATCCCATCACATTTGAGACTATCTACCTTAGACATTCATCATATATTTCAAATAGTTACCTGTGGCTACATTTCTGACAACCCCTTTCCCAGCTGCCTTCAGGAGTGCCTATTCATTTATGTGAAGATAAATATTCATGTCTCTAGCATTTTCTTTTCTAACCATACATATTTTCTAAGCAGCCTCAGTCACCACCTTAGTTTGAACTATTGCCTGTATACCAAGAACTTCCAAATGTGGCCCTTGTCCCCTTTTCCTAATCCCCAGTGTTCTGTTTCCAAATGCTACTGGGTCTCACTAGCTGATGTCAGGCACCTTAAAACCAAAATGCCCAATGTTCAACCCCCTAAATTCCCTTTCACATCTACTCCTCCTGCTCTTTCTTTCTGTAATGTGACCCATGTCTTCACAGTTCCCCAGTTTAAAACCTTAGTGATACCTTTGGCCCTCTTAGTTTTCCCCCAGCCTATCTGGCCATGAACTGTTAATGACGCCTGACTCATCTTCAGCATTCCTGCTGCTCCTGGTCCGGTTGTAATCTCCATCCCTCATCTGTGCTGTTCAGTAGCCTACCTGGAGCTCTTAGATTTCTTCACTCTTGTCAGACCCATCTTTGTGAGCTGCTTGTTTGGCCACATTCCTTCCCCACTGAGTGCCACAAGGACCTCCCTCTAGCTCTTGTAGGAAAATGAACTCTCTTTAGAACATACATTGGATAATTGGCCTTAGCTGTCCTTTCCCATTTCATTCTATCCTATGTTCTAGTCATAATTGGCCACTCAAAAGAATATATATACATATTCACGTCTCTGTGCCTTGTGATTTAATCACTTTATAAAAGCCTGATTATCCTTCAAAAGCTAAATCAGCTCATACATGTGGTCCTCCTTAATTGACTTAGGCAGAATTGAGTGCTTTCTCTTCTATGCCTTCACTACATTTAATTTCATGGCCTGTGCAGGGCCTTTGACATTATATTATAGTCAACTATGTGCCTCTACTCCCACCAGACTGATTTCCTTGTGGACAGTGAATATACACTCTTTTATTTGCAGCCCTTGGCATGCAATACATTTTAGAGTTCATCAACAATGAAATGACTATTTGAGTGATGTTCATAAAAAGAGAAGCTGTAAAAATGTTATCATTATTCATCATTTTACTTTCCAACATCCATAAAAGTTTACTCAAATAAATTACATGTTTATTAATTGGCAAAGATGTGACTACTTTTACTTAATATGTTAGCATTTTCTTTCCAGGAGAGTTTACCCCAGAAATGCAATTGCGAATAAGGCAAGAAATTGAGAAGGAAAAGAAAACAGAACCTTGGAAAGAAAAATTCTTTGAAAGGTTTTATGGAGAAAAGTAAGTACTAGAGCATTTTTTCTCATTTCTCTTAGAAGGAAATGAAAATGTAATTCTATGCTTCACATAGCACGCTCATATGCTGTAAAACTTAATAAACCTGTGATAAAAGGCAATAGTCCCTTGGTGTAAGAAATTGTGGATAAAATTATAGTGGCATATCAGCACTTAAATTTTAAAAAATGCATTTTCAAGGGTTTATAACTTGTTCATGAAAATTTATTTCAGACTGAAAATAGCACATGAAATCCTATAGAAGTCATTTTTGGTTTTCTTAAGTGGATTTTAGTAAAATTTTCCTGTGTTGGGTTTTTTTATTTTGAAATATTTTCATTAATGAGTACTTTAAAGTTAAGTAGTTTTAGGCACATATTTAAATCTCATATTTTTCAAGGAATATTGTCCATATACGTTTTAATCATTGTTTAGTCCTTGTTTGGGGGAGACCCTAAGATATTTTCTTCACATTACCCATCTTCCTTTTCAAGTATTATCTGTGTCTGTTTTTAATTTATTACTTGTGTGTGTGTGGATGTGTTTCTTTTTAAAGTTACCTGTAATACCAGACACATTTATGAGGGTAGAATTAAAAGATACTACTAATCTTTCCATGAACTTTCTGAAGTCCCCTCTTAAGTGTGGTAGTAACTGAACTAACCTGAAAGTAGTTTCACCTTTGTCTTACACTTAGCAGAGACATATTCTACTTGGGCAGAATTAGTGTCTCATAAACAATCAGATCCCTAAGAAAAGAGGGATGTAAGAACCGGCTATTGACAGTGACTTCAGATCTCCCTTAGTGGAGGAATTTGTGCTCTAACTCCCTCATACATAATTAATGCTTCAAAGTTGTTATTTTGTGTCAAAGACACAGAGGTGGTAAAACTTATGCCATTTGATCTCATTTCACAAAATTCCCCTGGTAAGTGGGAGGAGTAAAAAAAATGCCAGAAGGAGTCTCACCTGAGAGCTCTTAATGAAAAGGAATCAGATGATTCACAGACTGCTCACTCAGAGTCGGCTGACCTTGGTGAGTTGTCCTAAATAGCAGGACTCCTGAGTGGGAAGGCCTGTTTTTGATTGCTGTGCTAGGATTCCTGGAATGTATATATGAGAGTACTTCCAAGAGTTCATGGGAAAATTCGTATTACCCTTTAATTCCATTTTTGCACAAATATCTTGAAGTATCCTTATACATAATTAAGCAAAATTGAATAGTGATAATGTCTTTTCTCAAAAATTAAAATGTGGTAAAATTCGTATTACCCTTTAATTCCATTTTTGCACAAATATCTTGAAGTATCCTTATACATACTTAAGCAAAATTGAATAGTGATAATGTCTTTTCTCAAAAATTAAAATGTGGCAAACTAGTTATATGTCTTCACGTATAGTCACCAGAAGTATCACTCAAGCCTGGTTGTATCAAAATCCTCACTGGAGATTTAAAAAGTAGGTATAGGTTTCCCAGACCCACCCCAAACATACTGATTGAGAATCTCCAGGAGTTGAGCCCAGGAATCCATATTCTTAGAAGCTTTCTAGGTCATGCTGATGCCTAGCAGGATTAAGAGCCCTGGAAGAGGAGATTGAAGACCCCTCAGGAGCCCTCTCCTCCTTTTGTCTGTAGAATAGAATGTTGGGAGAGCTCTTTTTGGAATGGCAGAAACATAACTGAGTCAGTTACCTCCAAAGCACTGGTCCTTAATTTTTGTTAATTAATGGACTCATTCTCTTATCAATTCAACAATATTTATTTAACATCTCCTCTGTGCCAGACACTGTTCTAGGTGCCAGGTGTTCAGTCTTCTGTAGGGCTTCCTAGGCCTCCAGAGTGCCTACATTCTAGTGACTTCGCATTACAGAGAGCTTTCCTTCATTCAACAAATAACCACTGAGCATACTCTGGCACTGATATTTTTCTAACAGCTTTACAAATATTTTATTTAATCCTCCTAACAATTCTGTAAGATGTGTACTATTATTATTATTATTATTATTATTTAAAAACAATAATTAGGAAACTGAGGGAAAGTGAAGCTAAGCAATTTTGCCAGGTGTATACAGTGAGGTTAAATAACTTCCTCAGGGTCTTAATCTCGCAAATCCTCAGAAAAATTCATACACATGCACAGTTATTTGCATGAAATTTGGGGGCTTCAGAGACTCCAGTGGATATCAGTTTAAGGCCCCTGCCCTAGAAGGTGATAGCTAAGCTACTATGTGTAGCTCCGAGTACAAGAAATTCTTCTACTTGACCCTACCTTTGCTGTAGTTTATTGATAGTTTTTGTCCCATCAAATCACTGGACTTGTAATTTGTTCTTTTCTATCTTTGATTACATATTGGATGACATGTACTGTGGACATTTCATTGACTATCCTTTTCATTTTGTTACACCTAGATTACCTATATTTCTCCAATATATGAGGGATTTTCCCTAGCATCAGACAATTTTCAGCTGACTGACACTGTGTGTCTTTTCATTGCTCTAAGTTTTTTCAAGAATGTTGCCATTCAGGCTTTCTCCAGTTAATATCTGTCTGATTTAGTTCTCTGTTTTAGATATATATTATGACTCTTACTGGCTTAATATGCTAATAACATAGTACTGTTCCGTATTTGTTTTAGTCACTTAGAGATCACCCATGTACTCTCATCCCTCGGTATCCATGAGGGATTGGTTTCAGGATCGCCCTGTGGATACCGAAATCTGCGGATGCTCAAGTCCCTGATATAAAGTGGCATAGTATTTGCGTATAACCTGTGCACCTCCTCCTGTATACTTTAAATCTTCTCTAGATTAATTTTAATATGTAATGCAATATAAATACTATGTAAATAGTTGTTACACTGTTTTGCTTAGGGAATAATGTCAAGGAAAAACGTTCAGTACAGACACAATTTAAAAAAAATTTTCTATCTGAGGTTTGTTGAATCCGTGAATGCAGAAGCCATAGATATGGAAGGCTAATTGTATATGCTTACTCAGAATTATGCAGCTTGGTCTGTGACTTTGTAGTCTAGATTTCTGAAGGTTAAGGTTCTCTTTTGTGTGATATGGAGTGTTCTGTGAGCATCTTCCTTCTATGCCTTGTGCCATGTTAAATCTATTTAACTATGAAAGTAACAAAATGTTGCCATAGGCATATTTTATACATTGTTTTTTTATATATATATATATATATATATATATAT